GCAAAAGATAGTAAAATTACTTAAGAAAGAATTCAAAGAAGATCTTGAAAAATCAAAGACTAAGTCAGAACTCAACTCACCAGCCAACATTGCAACATAAATGCGTTTAAAAAAAAAAAAAAAAGGACAGAATGTTGGAACAGCGGTGGCCAGGCTAGAGTGCCCAGGCACAAAGCAATGGCAACCGGGCCCGGAGCAGCAACGGCCAGGCCCCAGAGCAGCAGCAGCCAGAACCAGAGCAACAACAGCCAGCACTGGAGCAGCCAGACCTGGGGCAGTGGCAGTCAGGCCTGAGGCAGAGGCAGCCAAGCCCAGGGTGGCCAGTCCAGGAATACCCAGACCCGGAGTGGCCGGACCCGGAGAAGCCGGGCCCAGAGCAGCCGGGTTGGGAGCAACCAGGTCCAGAAGAGCAGTAGCCCAAGCCCGGAGCATCCAGGCTGGGAGCGGCCAGACTAGGAGCGGCCGGGCCCCGGGCAGCCGGGCCCAGAGCAGCCGGGTCTGGTGCGGCCAGGCCCGGAGCAGCAGCTGCCAGGCTGGGAGCAGCCAGGCCCTGAGCAGCCAGGTCTGGTGCGGCCAGGCCTGGAGCAGCAGCTGCCAGGCTGGGAGCGGCCAAGCCAGGAGCAGCTGGGTCTGGTGCGGCCAGGCCCAAAGCAGCGATTGCCAGGCTGGGAGCAGCCAGGCCCAGAGCAGCGGCTGCCAGGCTGGGATCGGCCAGGCCCGGAGCAGCCGGGTCGGGTGCGGCCAGGCCTGGAGCAGCGGCTGCCAGGCTGGGAGCGGCCAGGCCCGGAGCAGCCGGGTCTGGTGCGACCAGGCCCGGAGCAGCGGCTGCCAGGCTGGGAGCGGCCAGGCCCGGAGCAGCCGGGCCCATAGCAGCCGGGTCGGGTGCGGCCAGGCCCGGAGCTGCAGCTGCCAGGTCCAGAGCAACTAGGTCGGGAGCAGCGGTGACCAGACCCGGAGCAGCTGGTTGTGGAATGAACCAGAGCAACAGAGGCCAGGCCTGGAGCAGCCAGGCCCGGAACAGCTCGCTTCTCGCCTGCCCCTGCCCCACGGTTGCCTCTCAGACATGGCTGGAAACTTTTGTTGGAACTTGAGGGTCTGCTGAATCAAGTGATGAAGGCTTAGATCTGGATGTGTTGAGTTAGTATAGGGCTGGGGTGTTGATCTGTGAGTGCCTTGGGTGGGGCCTGGATGAGGCTGGTTGACCTATTTGGAAATGTCTTTTGTGTGAAATATATCATTGGGCATGTGGTGGTATTATTGATATGAGAAAATGCTAAGTAACTGATTTACTATCTGAAAAGGGATTTACTATCGGGGAAAGGGAGGGAGGAAGAGACTGAACATAAAATGCACCTATAAATGAGGACAATGGGGGATGGGGAGGGGGTGGCGGGTGGGGTGGGAACCTGGTGGAGGGGGGAAGAAATGAGGAACCTTTGTAACAATATGAACAATAAAGATTGATTTTTAAAAAATTTAAAAACAATATTTAAAGAATAGAGGGGTGGGTTTCATCCTGGTAGCTGTGTGTTTAGATTTGAGCTTTGCAATCCTTTTACAAAGTAAGGATGACTCCCCTAGTTTCTTTTATGAGGAAATTGAGGCTCAGAGAGTTTATAAGACTTGCACAAGAACACACAGTAGGTTAAACTCATGGTTTTGGACTCAACTCACTCCACTGTTTCATGCTGCTTTATATCATTAACTATCCTTTGTAATTGGATTTTATGATCAGGGGTCATTCCTATCATATCCTCACACTTGACCTTATGACTAATCTGATGCTTGAAAACTCATTCAGCCCTCTGAGGTGTCAGAAAGAGCAGGCAAAGGGGAAATTTTATTTTTTTGAAAGTGGTTTTTTAAAATATATTTTTATTAATTTCAGAGAGGAAGAGAGATAGAGACATCAATGATGAGAATCATTGACTGGTGCCTCCTGAGAGATCCAGCCCACAACTCAGGCATGTGCCCTGACTGGGAATTGAAACATGAACTCCTGGTTCATAGGTCAATGTTCAACCTCAGAGCCACGCCAGCTAGGCCTAATTTTAATGACATATCTCTATAGCCCTGTTCCCTTGTCACAGAGACAGAATTCTCTATCATTGCTTGTTATCCTTAAATTACAAAAAAAAAGGAGATTCAGTTGATGCTTTTAATTTAGCTTCAAGATCATATACATCAAGCATGTCAAACTCTCGGCCCACAATGAATATTTTTGTGGCCCAGCTAATATAACAGTATGTAAGAAACGTTTTAATAAAAATTTCATAACTTAATTTTTACAATATCCTGTTATACATAATTATTAATAACGAACTACAACATTCGCTAAAGACTGATTACTATAATCGTGTTGCAGTCATTTCCTTTATGCTCCTTACACACAGATGCACCATTTCTCTCCACTAATACTAGCAGATAATATTTTAGCAACTGATTGCCATGTCATTAGTTCTGGACTGACTTGTTCAGTGTGCTCAACAGGAAATATTTTGCTTTCGGGAAACAAGAAAAATAGGTTTATTTACGTTATATTTATTATTTTGTGTAGTTATTCAGTGTCTGATAAATTAATGTTTAAGAAAAAATATTAATTTTTATTAAAATGTTCTATTATTTTGTCAATGATTACTCATTTATTTAAGCCCTTTGTATTCAGTATATCTCTATTGAAAATAAGCCCACGTTTCTATGAAAATAGAAGCTTTTGGGTTTGTTTGTTTTTTTCAACCTACATAAACTTAAAACTTGTTTATTTGGTCTATGTTAGCCTTTGAGTTTGACATTTTTGGAAACTAGTAAAGGTTTTGAAGGTTGACAATGATTATAACACACCAACTCAGAGAAAAAGGAAGCTGTAGGCTGAAGTTAGGAATAAAGGGAGTTTGAGACTGCCTTATTCTAGCATAGTGGTTACCCACCTGTGTGGTCCAGCTTTGGATTACTGGGTCTATGTGTAGTTGTATTACGTACTGTAAGGCAGGTTTCAAGCCTTTACAGATCAAATTAGATTCTATTGATCCATTCTAAGCTTGTCCTGCTTTTGTAATTAGATTAACCTGACAGAGCCCACTTTTAATGTATATTTCCCCAAAATTTTCCTGAGGATGTGGAAGTCAGTGCATGGGAGCCACTCCATTCTTTTGGCCAGACTGAGCCTGATGGTAAAAGGAACCCAGGCTTTGAAAGAGGCTTGGAGCAACATTTTCCCACTCTTTGTAGATGTACTCTTCTCTTGTGAACTTGATGCCAGGGGCACCCAACATATCAGAACCCAAATGTATTTACAGCCTATGTATGTGAATGATTATTATGGGAGGGTAAAGTACAATGAGATGGTTACGTTTTACAAAGTAATTCAACAAGATCTGTATTTTCCAGCCTGAAGCTTTCAGATTGACAGAGCTATGTTGGAAATCCTTAAGGACATCCTTCTACATCCCTACCAAAAAGTCCAGTTTATCATGCAGTGTGAAGAGTTAGGATTGGGAATGTGGCCATGGCCAAAGGCAAATCCTTGGCAGATAGCCTGCAGCTGAGAAATGAGTCATGTAAGGCGATTCAGTAGAATGGAAGTAGTTTAATCAAACCATATATTAATAAAAGTTAATGAGCATTTCTGACTCTGTCAAATTGTCTACAAATCCAAATATAGGCCCATAGGAGGGAGAATTGGCCAGAAAGGGCCCCTGCTACTATAGAGGACATCTGTCTGGACAGGGTCACTGGAGTCTTCTTTTACCAGACTCAGCCACACCACATATCCCAGCATTAGGTGTGATCTCAGGGTAAGCTTAGGACAGTGCTGAGAGAAAGCACTAAAAGACTCCTCAGAGACCCTTATTAGACTTCATATTCCATAGACCCACAGGTTATTTAATCTGTCTCTCTGTTCTTTAACTTATGAAATATTTGACATTCAAAAAGATATGAAAATTATGATGCACACCCATGTACTTACCATTCAATTTAAAAATATTTTTACAAATAGTATTCCTCCTCCCCTTTTCTGCTTCTTCCCTTCTCCTCCTTCCTTGCCTCTCCCCATTCTCATCATTGTACTAAATTTCTCTTGTATTGTTGTTGTATTTTTATAGTTTTTATACATATGTATATATCCTTAAACACGTGGCAGCTTTTGTATGTTTTTAAACCTTTTATAAGTGAAATAGATATAGATGAAATAAACTACAGAAATTAAGGGAATGATGAGCATGGCATTTGAGATGGAGTTTACTTTGTCATCATAGATTTTGGATTGTGTGATGGGTTCACCAAAACTTAATACGTTATTTAAAGTAATTAAGTAGCCTTGGCCAGTGTGACTCACTTGGTTGGGCGTTGTACTATGCTGGTTCAATTCAAGTCAGGGCACATGTGCAGGTTGTGAACTCAATCCCCAATAGCGAGTGTGCAGGAGAGAGATGATGTATGTTTCCCTCTCACATCAAGGTTTCTCTCTCTCTCTCTCTCTCTCTCTCTCTCTCTCTCTCTCTCTCTCTCTCTCTTTCTTTCCCTCACTCCCTCCCTCCTTCTCTCTCACTTCCTCTCTCTCTAACAATCAATAAAGAATTTAAAAAGTAATTAAGTAAATAAATATAGAAATAAGAGCACTATTCATGGACTAATGATGAGTGTCTCATAGACTGAGTTAGGATTAATCTAAATCTTTGCACTCAAGAGCAAAACAACTATGATAATAACAGATAAGCAATATACTATTTGTATATATGTACTTCTATTTTTCTCATACAATAAGATTTGTAAGACTCATCCATGTCAATATGTGAAGTTCTTTATTAATTTTATCCCCATTTCTCCTGTCATACTAGGCCTTCTCCAAAAATCCCAACAACACTAATATAATGTGCCCAAATTTAGACTAAAACACCTCCCATTGGCAGTATTAGCATCCTAATGTGCCTATGTGCCAACACTCCTGGTATCCACTCTCTACATACCTTTAACATAGTCTTCTCATCCTTCCCACCTAGGACCTGATTCGGAGAGACATCCTATATTACAAAGGCCGCATTGACATGGATAAATATGAGGTAATAGACATTGAAGATGGCAGAGATGATGACTTTAATGTCAGCATGAAGAATGCCTTTAAACTTCACAACAAGGAGACTGAGGAAGTGCACCTATTCTTTGCCAAGAAGCTGGAGGAGAAGATACGCTGGCTCAGGGCTTTCAGAGAAGAGAGGAAAATGGTACAGGAAGATGAAAAAATTGGTAAGTGACTTCAAAAAAGAACAAAGAATGTGGTTATGAAGAACATAGAGGATTTGAAATAGTTTTAATTTCTCTAGAGGCAGAAGGAAGATTTATATTGCAAACTGACTTAATCTACTTTGTTGGTTCCCTATTATTAGGTGCTTTTTGGTAGATACCAGTAGTTTCCATTAATTAGGGTTATACTCCGATAGGTCAGCTTCCTCTACAGTCTCATTACTAGATAAAACTATTACATGGAAAGCAAACATCTGACTCAGTTCTTTCAAACATACAGACATCAGTAAACCAACATGAGAGCAGTTATATAGCCTATTCTGTAATTTCAATTCAGTCTTCAATTCTTTTCTTAGATACACGATGGAATCTTCTGTGAAAGGTTAGCAGTCAAGGCAGATTTGGTAATATAGTGACAGGATTCATCTAACTTTCTAGTCAGAGTCTAATGACAGAATCCTTTCATGAAAGTTATATCATAACATCTGTTTTCACTTTTAAGCTTTAGGCTTTCTTCTGAAAGGCATAGGCTACAGGACTTACTGGATTCTTATACCCAGTACCTGTAAGACATTTGTGGCCACTGCACATCTTGTATAACATTCACTTTCCCAGTGAAAGTTCATTTTTAAAAATATAAGTTTTTATTGATTTTTAGACATGGAGGAAGGGAGAGGGAGAGAGAGAAACTTCAATGTAAGAGATAAACATCGATTGGGTGTTTCTGCATGCCCCCTACTGAGGATCAAGCCTGCAACATGGGTATGTACCCTGACCAGAAATGGAACCAGTGACCTTTTGGTGCATGGATGACTTTCAACCAACTAAGACACACCAGCTACGGCTGAAAGTTCATTTTTAACATGTGTTAGGCTAATTAGGCCTCATGTATTAAGATGACTGAATGGCTGGTAGTAGTGGCCTCTATAGGAAAGATTTCTGAGTGTTTAATATTGCTAAACATCACCTCTTGAGTGTACATTCCTGATTAGGGCGCTTTAAATATTAACTTGGGATGTTAATATTTAAATGCTCATGGAATATAGATTTAAAATTAATTTAAATTAATGTAAATGTATATATTATGCCCTTGGTATGAAAATGTTTTAAAATAAATGAATAGGGTCTAAAATCATAATTACTTGCATGATTTCCATTCACACTAAACCATACTCTTTTGTATGAGAGATTGTTCCCTTTTTCCACAAATGATATATCTGGGATATATATATATTATTCTGCTTCCCAAATGGGAAGTAGTTTTTGTTTACAAAGTACTATCGGGTCTCTTGCCCATAGTTATACATTTCTAATATAAAAATATAAAAATCCAGGCTTTGTGATTCCTTAAAAAATAGTTTATGAGTTTGCACCACTCCAAATGGGAGTAGAATTGTACAATACTTTAAAACACTTCTATACTCAAGTTTATAGAAGCTGCCTCTAGAAAAAAGAGCTTACCCACTGAGTTCTGGTACAATTGGATTCTCGTATCCTTCAGTGTAGGGAATTGAGATCCAAAAGCAAGGAAATATAACTAGAAAAACACTGCTTAGTCTTATCCTAGTCTTCTCAAATCTTCGTTAAAATGCATACTGATAATTCACTTTGAGTCACGTTGTTGTCAAATTGCTTTTAGCATATGCGCATTGATTTGGGGCATGATGTGGAGTGGTACAGAAATGCTACTGGCTTCTTCTCCCAATGGCAGACAGTAGCAGCCTTTGACATTGCATAGGTTGTTAGGGCTACTAAAGGAATTTTCTTAGTGTGCTTTCTGAAGCTCCTAGATCAACTTGAATATCCTCTCCATTCTCTCTGGTTCAAACATGATGTCTCACACACAATGTCCTAATGACCTATAACTTTGAGAATCTGCCTCTAATAGAAAAGCTTACAGAAGTTCAATCCTGGTAGGCCTATGTTTGTCTTTTAAAAAGTAAGTGTCTTTTCTGATTATAACTAAATTACTTTCATTGCAGACTTTCATTTGTAGACCAAATAATAATAATTAATTAATTAATTAATTAATTAATTAATTTAAAAAAGAAGAAACTAAAAATCAGACATGAACATATGGAGCTAACTTTTATAAACATTTTAATATATTTTTCCATTTGAAAAACTAGCATGGCTGAATAGTTGTTTTCTATTTCTCCCTACTCCCCACCTCTCCCTGATGGTAGATATAATTGTACATCATTATTTTTCACTTAAAATTATATTATTATTATTTCCTTAAATCGTTTACTATTTAACCATTATTCTTATTGCTGTCATATGGATTTACCATAATTTTATGTTTACTATTTTTATTTTTTAATTATAAAATATATACATGGACATAATGATAATTTATTTTTTAAAATATATTTTTTTTTATTGATTTCAGAGAAGAAGGGAGAAGAAGAGAGAGAGAGAAACATCAGTGATGAAAGAGAATCATTGATCGGCTGCCTCCTGCACACCCACTATTGGGGATCAAGCCTGCAACCCAGGCATGTGCCCTTGACCGGAATCGAACCTGGGACCCCTTAGTCCATAGGCTGACACTCTATCAACTGAGCCAAGTTGGCCAGGGCTATAATAACCATTTAAACACTTAATAGATATGCAATAAAGTCTATGTTTTTCTTCTCTGCCACTCCTACGCTATGTGAGATAATCATTATTAATTTGGTGTACATCTTTCCATACTTATCCAATGCTCATATAAATATCTATACACATCAGACTTTTAAATTTTTATTTACAAAAATTATAGATATTACTAAGTAACTTGTTTTTATAAAACTTAATCATAAATATCTCTCAGGTGAAGAATATAAAATCTTACTCTAACTCTTTCTATCAGGGTTCAACCAGAGAAGTATAACCAATAGGAAATTATTAAGACATTTTTATAAGGAATTACCTTATATGATTGTGAATCCTGGCTGAGCAACTCCAAAATTGTAGGGGAAGGCTGTCAAGAATGACAGATCATGGGTAGGCTTGAACTCATGGGCATAGGCCAAAGCTGTCATTTATAGAGAGGAACTCATGAGAAGGATTGAATTCCAAGTACATGGACTGAAATTGTGAGGCAGAATTTCTTATCTCTCAGATTGGGGAGACCTCAGCGCTGCTTTTTTTTTTTTTTTTTTTCTTTTTCAGTGGTAATAAGAACTACCATGAACTTGATGTTCTTAAAAAATTTTGAGTGCATGATATAAAGCTCCACAACCAGTGTTGTATAGCAAATCTCATCCTATCTAATAAAAGAGTAATATGCAAATTGACCATCATTCCAAGACACAAGATGGCTGCTCTCATGTGGTCAAATATGGCTGCCCCCATTTGGACACAAGATGGCCACCACAGATGGCTGGAAGGGGAGGGCAGTTGTGGGCAGTTGGTGACCAGGCCAGCAGAGGAGGGCAGTTTGGGGGGACCAGGCCAACAGGTGAGGGCAGTTGGGGGAACCAGGACTCTAGGGGAGGGCAGTTGGGGTTGATCAAGCCTGCAGAGAGTGCAATTAGGGGTGACCAGGCCAGCAGAGGAGGGCAGTTGGGGGAGACCAGGCCAGCAAGGTAGGATAGTCGGCGGGGGGGGGGGGGGGGGAAGACCAGGCCTGCAGGGGAGGGCAGTTAGGGGGAGGGAAACCCAGGCCTACAGGAGAGCGCAGTTGGGGGAGAGGGGACCAGGCCTGCCGGAGAGGAGAGTTAGTGGGGGGGACCCAGGCCTGCAGGGGAAGGCATTGTGGGCTATCAGGCCAGCAGGGAGGGCAGTTAGGGGTGACCAGGCCAACAGAGGAGGGCAGTTGGAGGGGAACAGGCCTGCAGGGGAGGGCAGTTAGGGGTGACAAGATTGGCAGGGCAAGGCAGTTAGGGTGACCAGGCCTACAGGGGAGGTCAGTTAGGGGCAATCAGGCTGGCCGGGGAGCAGTTAGGGGTCGATCAGGCTGTCAGTGGAGTGGTTAGGGGGTGATCGGGCTGGCAGGCAGAAGTGGTTAGGGGCAATCAGGCAGAGGCAGGCGAGCAGTTGGGAGCCAGCAATCCTTGATTGTGAGAGGGATGTCCAACTGCCTGTTTAGGCTTAAATGGGTGGTCTGACATCCCTCAAGGGGTCCCAGATTGGAGAGGGTGCAGGCTGAGCTGAGGGACACCTTCCCCCAACCCCGCACAAATTTCGTGTACCAGGCCTCTAGTATCTTATATAAAGGGAACTTTATACATGTTCTACAGAAACTCTTCATTTCCCCTATAGCCAGCCTCTTGGAATTATAATTTTATTCTGTGCATTTATGAGTTTGACCTCATATTTAATTTATATACCTAACTAGTAGCCCTGTGCACGAATCTGTGCATCAGTAGCTCTCTGTGGGGCAGGCTGCTCCACACCTGCTGCCCACAGGCTCTCCACAGCCCAGAGGCCCATCTGCGGCTGAACACAGAACACTTGCCTTATCACATTCTGTGCACTGTCCTGGCCAGAGGCCCATGCGAGGCCGGGTATGGAACACTTGGCTCGTCACCACGGCAAAGAAGCAAGCATTCCGCCAGACCACTCACACTGCCTGCTCTCAGCAGCTGCCCCCTCCAGGACTGGGGAACTCCAGTAGGGCTGAGAGGACTGGGCACCACCATCTTGTGGCTATGGGTGCCACCATCTTTGTGACAGAATGACGGTTAATTTGCATATCACCCTTTTATTAGATAGGCTCTAAAAAAATCATGCCATATTAGTCCTTTTGTGACTGCCAAATTTCACTTACCATAATGTCCTACAGATTTATCTATATTGTCACATATGGCAGAATTTCCTTCCTTTTTGGTATTACACTGTATGTATATGCCATGTTATTTTATCCATTCATCTATTTATGGACATTTAATTTGTTTCTATATCTTGGCTATTGGGAATAGTGCTGCAATCAACATGAGTACAGATATCTCTTCAAGATCCTTATTGTAATTATTTTGGATATATATCTAGAAGTGGGATTATTAACCATATGATTGTTCTTTTTTAAATTTTATTAAGAACTTCCTTACTGTTTTCCATAGTGACTAAAGCATTTTAATTCTGAAAGGTGTACTATGGTTCCAGTTTATCCACATCCTTGCCAATACTTATCTTTTGTTTTTTTGTTTTTGTTTTTTTATAATAGCTATCCAAACAGGAGTGACATAATCTCTTATGGTTTAAACTTAAATTTCCTAATGATTAGAAATTTTGAGAATCTTTTCGTATACTTGTTAGCCATTTGTATGGCTTCTTTGAAGATATGTCTATATAAGCCCATTTTTAAAATCTAGTTATTTTGGGGATTTTGTTTTTGTTTTTGTTTGTGTTTTTTTGTTTGCTTTTGTTTTGTATTTTTGTTGTTGTTTTTGTGATTGTTTCACATAGAAGTGCCTCATATGTGGAAATTAACACAATTTTAGATATAGTTTGCAAATATATTTTCTTCCATTCCATAGGTTGCCTATTCATTCAGTTGTTTCTTTGCTATACAGAAATATTTTAGTTTGATGTAGTCATACTTGTCTGCTTTGCTTTGTTGCCTATGTTTTTGGTGTAATTTTCAAGAAATCATGGCCAAGATCAATGCCAAGCTTTCCCCCTGTTTTCATATAAGACTTTTACAGTTTTAGGTTATACAGTTAAGTCTTCAGTCCACTTTGAATTTATTTTCATGTATGTAGAAGGTAGGAGATCAGTTTCATTCTTTTGCATGTTGGTATCCATCCAGTTTTTTCAGCACCATTTTTTGAGAAAAGGATCCTTTCCCAATTTTGTATTGTTGGCAACTTTGTAAAAGATATAGTGGTGGCATACACACACACACACACACACACACACACACACACACACACACGGACCAGTGCATGAAATTCATGCGCATGAAAAGGGGATTAATTAGAGGAAATATTTTAATATTGCTATTTGCCCTTTTTCTATAATAGAAGTGTCAGAAATGAAAGAAAATTAGTAAAATGTATATGAAAATCTTCTTCCTGTCAGAGTCTGGGGTGCACCATTGGACCCACAGTCAAGGCCCTGCCCACCCACTTGTGCCTCAAAATTGTATGAGAACCAGAACCGCCCCTCCTCTCCCCCACAACCCCCCAGTTGGGCTAGATACAGACCCAGTTGGTCCCACCCTTGTTAAGCCCTGTTTGGTGAGGTGTGAAGCCTCAGGTCCCCTGGCCTGGAACCAGGTGGGGGCATGGCCTGAGGCCCCCCAGCCCTTGGTGGGGTGGGGGCACTCCTTGAGGTCCCCCTCAATCCCCGCCAGGTGGGGGATGTAGCCTGAGATCCCCTATGAAACCCCTCTTGGCGAGGGCATGGCCTGAAGTCCCCTGTTAAGCCCTGCCAGGCAGGGGGTGTGCCTTGAGATCCCCTATCAAGCCCTGATAAGCAGGAGCCACAGCCTCAGGTCCCCCTGCCCATTGCCAGGAGGGGCACAGCCTCTGTTGAGCATCTGCCCCTGGTGGTCAGTGTGTGTCATAGCTACTGGCCAGTTGTCCGATTGCTTAGGCTTTTATATATATAGATTAGTTTTAGGTGTACAGTATAGTGATTAGACACTTAAATAACTTACAAAGAGATCCCCCTAATATTACAAGTACCCATATGACACTATACATAGTTATTACAGTATTATTGACTATATTTCCTATGGTGTACTTTTACATCCCCATGACTATTTTGTGACTACCAATTTATACTTCTTAATTCCTTCAGCTTTTTCACTTAGACCCCAACCCTCCTTCCCTCTGGCAACCATCATCTGTTCTTTGTATCAATCAGTCTGTTTCTATTTTTGTTTGTTTATTTTGCTCTTTAGATTTCACATATAAGTGAAATCATATGGTAGTTGTCTTTCTCTTTCTGACTTAGCATAATACCCTCTAGGTCCAATGATTATTTTTTTTTTTTTTGTAGAAATAGAAAAAATTCCTAAAATTCATGTAGAAACCCCCCCCAAAAAACAAAAAAAAACCAAAACAAAACCCATAATAGTTAAAGAGAACAGAGCTGAAGGCATCACACATCCTGATTCAAAATATATGCCAAAGCTACAGTAATTAAAATAGTATGGTGCTGCCGTCACTGGTGTGGCTCAGTTGGTTGGGCATCGTCCCATTCAACAAAAGATTGATTCCCAGTCAGGGCACATGCAGGGGTTGCAGACTCAATGGGAGGACAGGGGGTGCAGGATGAAGATGATTGATGTTCTGCTCTCACATCCATGTTCCCCTTTCTCCCTTTCCCTTCCTCTCCCTCTAAAAATCAATAAAAATATTTTTTAATTTCTTTATTGATTAAGTTATTACATATGTGTCCTTATTACACCATTACCCCCCCCCCATGCCAAAGGACTTATATGCATGCATATAAGCCTAATCAATGGACACAGACAACAGGGGGGTAAGGGCAATAAAAATATTTTTAAAAAACTGTATGGTACTGCCATAAAGACAGATATATAAACCAAGGAGATAGGATAGAAATCTTAGAAATAAATGTACACATATAAATCAACATATCTTCAACAAATGTGCCAAGACTACAAAGTTAGGAAAGGATGTTTAAAAAAACAAACAAACAAAACAACAACAACAACAACAACAAAAAACACGGTGCTGGAAAACTCGATATAAACATGCAAAAAAGTGAAATCAGACTCAAGGGTAATACCTTGTTAACTTTTGAGGCCCTGTTCAAGGAGCTCAGTTGATTAGAGTGTTGTCCTGTTATGCCAGGGTTGCTGGTTCGATCCCCATACAAGAATCAACCAATGAATGCATAAATAAGTGAAACAACAAATCACTGTTTCCCTTTCTGTGTCTCTCTTCCTTCCTCTCTCTAAAATCAATAAGTAAAATTTTAAAATAAAGACTTTTTATATGTCTTGCCAAAATTTCTCTTCCAGGAACATACTAATATTTACATTTAAGAAAGGTCTATGTTTCTCTTAAAAAATAATCTGTTTTTATTTTCCTAGGCTTTGAAATTTCTGAAAATCAGAAGAGGCAGGCTGCAATGACTGTGAGAAAAGTCTCTAAACAAAAAGGTAAATCTTTTTAAATATTAATATTGTATCCAGAAATCTGTTGAACTTATTAGTTCTAATAAAATTTTAGTGGATTATTAGGAGTTTTCTATATACAAAAAAAAAAAAAGGTAAATCTGCCTTTTACCAACACTCCTCCCACCCCACTTTATTCCACCCCTACCCCACCATTCACTCTCTTTATAAGAATGGAAAGCCATAGGCTATGTGTTTTCATATTCCTAGGTTTATTTCCATGGTGGAGAGTTTCTGAATTCCCGTGTGTCTTACATAGAAAATGTTCTTGAAGGTTTAAATCTGAGGAATGAAGAGTATAAGGTACTTATGTCCAGAGATAGCTCATCAGGTACAGGAGAAAAAAATAGAACCTTTTTTATTTTTATTTTTACTTAAACAAATGAGAGTGAGAGACTAAACTTTACTAACAATTTAAAGACTGGTGGGCAATAGAAAATATGTATAATTTATAAGTGTAAGGGAAATGTGCAGAATTTTCTTTCATTGTTTTGGAGATATTTGGTAAATAAAGAATCCCAAATCAGAATGAAGAGCTTCAAACTGAATCAAGAATATTCAAATATTCATTTTCTCTTTCTCTGAACTGTAAACTAAAAGTATTTACAAAATAAAAATACATTGAAAATAAATTAGAATATGAAATGAAGCTCTATTTTCTCATTTTTATGAACTAGACAGAATTGAAATGCTTAGTTAAATAAAGGAAAGGACCTACCCTCTGTTTATTTTAGAGTCTAGTCAATCCCAGTCATTTTACGTAAGTTCTTTCATTTTTATGGCACCCTTAAAAAGGTAGGCATTGTTAGCCAAATTTTCTAGATGAGGAAACTGATGATCTTCTGGTTGAAGTGACTGAAAATAAGTCAGCTTTACTATAAGTCCCCTTCTCTCTCTTCTCCACCTAAGGGGCCTGATGATTTTCCATTTTGAGGAAGAAAGCTGACTTTATTTGGTATCACTTCAATTATCAACAAATGCTTCTGTTACTGATAAGCACTGTTATTGTCCCCAGGGGTGAGCAATCTTAGACCTCAGTTTTCCCAGGCCATTCCTTCTGCTTTCTCAGTGAACTATTGTTCAGAATTAGTCACCATACAAAATGATCAGATTTAAGTTGCATGAAATTCCAACAGTAACATAAAGCACCCCTAACTACTCCTAATGACACTGTTTTTTCATTGAGGAAGCTGGGTGCCTATGTATATCTGATTTCCAATTAAGCAGTGTACCCAGATGGAGGCCCTCTATCTAGACATGACAGTCCTTTTAACTGCTTATTGGTTTTTGCCTTTGGGAGAACCTCTTTCCCTCATCATGCAAATGTGATTCTCTTTAGATTTGGGATTAAAAGCAACCACTTCTAACCTCTTGGGGGTGAAAAGTGAGGTATAATATTAGAAAGAATTCTGGAGTTACTGTCCACAAAGATATGATCTGTATGAATTGGAGAATCCTGTGAGGGAATATGCCCCTTCTTTAGACAGAGATATGAACAGAAAAGAGCCCTAGACAGGTGGAGAGTCCTCAGGCTACAAAGGGGCTACTGTCCTAGTAGACTTTCTCTGTCTCCTATAGGCTCTTAGTTCCTGAGCTTCTCTCACTCTGACTTCCTTCACTGTCCTCAGCATACTGATCTTTGTGATGGGATGGTACCCCATTACCTTAGCCCAGATTCTCTGAAGCTTATCTGAGAATGGCTGGTTTTGTGACTAATAATCCTTAAAGCTTAGGAAAATCCACAAGTCAAGCAACCAGAAAACAGTCCTCAGTCATACCAAGCTTTTGTGTAAGTTTTCTTACCCACCTGTCTAGTCTCAACCTATACCCTTCAGGCCCTCTCTTATATACCAATATATAAACACTGGTTCACCTGAACAGCTTTCCACCTTTAAAAGCAACCTTAAAGACTTAAAATAAACTTAGCTAGTTTCAAATATCCCAGAATTCTTACAAATCTCTTATTTCTACTTCTAGTCTTCAAGACTCTTCTAGTCCAGGGCTGTGGTGACTCATATATTTTGTGACTCAAAATGGAAGTAGTTATCAAACTTAGTAATATTAGTTATATAATATATATGGGAATAGCAAGGGAGTCCTTTTAAACCAATAAAATCTAGCTTCCTTACCATTCCATTGACCCCTTCCTGAAAGTGATGGGGAAGAATTATTATTAAGATTTTTCCAATGTAATGTAATTGGATAAGGAATTATTCTAGTTTCTCTTTGCAACCCCATCTGTAATGCCATGGGATTGTAAAGAGTGAAATAAGCCTATGTGAATTACAGGATAAAATTAAGAGAAACAATCTATGAAATATTGGTGTCCCTTAAGTAGAAGAGAGGAGGGAAAACGGGCAGAAAATGTACTTAAATAATGGATGAGATATTCCCAATTCTGAGTAGGTTCATGAGGCTTATTGGTTTCCAAACAATGTCAACCCAAAATGATCTCCTCCAAGATACATTATAAAAAAGTTGTCAAAAATCAAATACAGAGGGAGAAGGTTAAAATTAGCAAGAGGGGGGAAAAAATCTTTGCATAGAAGGGAACCCACATAAGGCTATTATCAGATTTCTCTGCAGAAACCTAGCAACAAGGAAAGACTGGAGATTTTATATTCAAAGTGCTGAAAGAAAAAACTGCCAACCATGAATTGTCTTACAAGAACTGCTGAAAGGAATTCTTCAAGCTGAAATAAAAGAACACTAATTAGTAACATGAAAACATATGAATATACACACACAAGTAAAAGTTGTATATATAGTCTAATTCAGATTAATCTATTATGGTGGTATACTTAAATCTATTATAAATGACTAGAGACTCAGTCCTTAAACCCGGATTGCAAGAGGGCACAGGCCTCGTGGAGGAACCCCACCAGTGCACAATAGGGACGGGGGAGGGACGTGGGAAGTTGTTCATCCAAGGAAGAACCACAGGAGGGCTCCAGGGCATGTCCGGCCCCATCTTGCTAAGTCCCGATTGGCTGCAAGCTAACCTACCAGTTGGAGCATTTTCCCCCTGGTGGTCAGTGCACATCATAGTAAGTGGTTGAATTGCCTTAGCATATCATTAGCATATTTCACTTTGATTGGTTGAATGGCTGACCGGATGACCAGACACTTAGCATATTAGGCTTTTATTATATAGGATAAAAGACAATGGGTTAACATACCTATAGGTAAAAGTATATGTTAATAGATATCAATAAAAAGATATAAACTGTGAAATCAAAAACATAAAATGTAGAGTGAAGTATAGGGGTAGAATTTTTATATATGGTGAAAGATTATTTATCAGCTTAAAATAGCCTATTGTAACTATGGAGAAAAGAATATCACTATGGAAAATTATCAATTCATACAGGAAAGTAGCAAAAGAGGAAGAAATGAACAAAGGAACTATAAGACAGACAGAAAGTAATTTAGATGGAAATAATGCCTTACCTATTAATAATTACTTTAAATGTAAATGGGTAAAATTCTCCTATCAATACACATACAATGGCTGAATGAATAAAAGTATAAGACCAGACACACTGTACACTGCTTACAAAAGAATCAGTTCACCATTGAAAACACACATAGACTTAAGAGTGAAGATATAGAAAAAGGTATTCCATGCAAGTGTAAATCAAAAGAGAGCAAGGGTAGTTATACTTATATCAGAGAAATAGACAATAAGTTAAAAACTGTTGCAAGAGACTAAGGTCATTATATGATGATAAAAGGGTAATTTCTCAAGAAGACATAACAGTGCAAATATATATGTGCTCAACATTGGAGCACCTAAAAATATTAAGCAAATACTAACAGATCTGAAGGAAGAAGCAGACAATGATATAATAATAGTAGGGGATTTAAATACCCTACTTCAGCAATTGATAGATTACCAAGACAAAAATAATTGCGAATATTGTACTAATAATATATCTAGACTACATGAACCTAAAGAACATTCCATGCACCAGCAGAAGGTTTCCTGTTTCTCTAAAGCATACATGCAACATTCTCCAGGACAGCATGTGTTACATCATAAAACAATTCAGCAAATTTAAGAAAACTGAAATAATATTAAATAACTTTTCCAACCAAAGTGATATGAGACGAGCTGGAAAATTCACAAATATGTGGAAATTAAACAACACATGAATGAATAGCCAATGGGTCAAAGAAGAAATACAAAAATATGACATGAATAAAAATGGAAACACAAGAGTTATGGAATATAACAAAAAGTTATACCAAGTTATGGAATATCACAAAAACTGTTTAGAAGGGATGTTTATACCCATAAATGCCTAAACTGAAAAACAGAAATATTTCAAATAAACAGCCAGACTTTTCACCTCAGGGAACAAGAGAAAGAATGAAAGGCATAAGCCCAAATTTAGCAGGGGGGGAAAGCACAAAATAAGGACCAGAGAAGACAAAAATGAGAGAGGGACTTAACAACAATAGAAAATATTGATGAAATTAAGAGCTGGTTGCCAAGACCAGTTTGGCTCAATGTATAGAGCGTTGGCTTGGGGACTGAAGGGTCACGGGTTTGATTCCGGTCAAGGGCATGTACCTTGGTTGCGGGCATATCACCAGTAGGGGCTGTGCAAGAGGCAGCTGATCAATGACTCTCTCTCATCGATGTTCCTAACTCTCTACCTCTCTCCCTTCCTCTCTGCACAAAATCAATAAAATATATTTTAAAAAAAAAGAAAAAAAAAGAAATTAAGAGCTGGCTTTTTGAAAAAACAAAGACAACTGATAAAACTTTAGGTTTATTAAGAAAGAAAGAGAAGATTCAGATAAAATCAGAAATTAAACAGAATATAGTACAAATTATACCACAGAAATAAAAATAATTATAAAAGGATACTGGGTCAACTATACACTGACAAATTAGATAATCCTACCTAATAAAAGAGTAATATGCAAATTAACCATCACTCCACTTCACAAGCCATGCCCACAAAGCCACACCCACA